ATTTCTGCAGCTGAGCTGCGTCACGTGATGACGAATCTGGGGGAGAAGTTGACGGACGAAGAAGTTGATGAGATGATTCGCGAGGCTGACATAGATGGAGATGGGCAAATTAACTACGAGGAATTCGTGGGGATGATGCTTGCGAAGTAAAGTCACGTCCCCAGTAGTCTGGAATATATTAACAGGACACAGGGCGCCATACATACATACATGGTGCCTGGAACCGCCAAAAGCCAAGGTTTTGTAAAGAGCTGTATTCCTGTGATCCTGGCATAATTCTTGAATGTGTGAATAAGGGGAAGTGGGCACATTTTTGTACGGGTGGACGTGGTCAGTTCCTTAATTGGTTCGTCCGGGGCAGAAGCGGTTGCTCTTGTCGCAGTGTTACGTCATCAATTGCTGCTGCCCGGCTGGTAGAGGGCGGCATTATGCGTAAACAGGCGTCCTTTGCTTTACAAAGCTGTTGTGCTAGCCTTGTGCCTAGCTAGCCACGGGGTAGGGTAGCCAGGTAGCGAAGGCCTTCCCTGCACACCTGGACTTTTTGACAAGAGGGAAAAACTATGGGAAGCCATAGCTGATGCTGCAACGCCCGTCTCAGCTGGCATTTACAGCCTTACAGCATGGTCAACCCCTCACCTCTTGCGGACCACGACTCGCGGCTCCCGGTCAACTGTTGTCGTTTGCAGGGTTACTTACATTCCCTTTGCACCGAACTATTTGCCCCGTTACGGGCAGTTGGGGATGCTCGCGGTTTTGCTNTTACTTACATTCCCTTTGCACCGAACTATTTGCCCCGTTACGGGCAGTTGGGGATGCTCGCGGTTTTGCTCTGGCTGCATTGAATCCCCGCGTGGGCAAAGGCGCCTCTACTGCACTATTTAGAGCTGTATGCCGCTGGCCTCACACGGCGTTATAATAAGCATTGCTCGCCCACACGAATGTGTATGGGCACACATGAAGTAGCATAGAAGAGGCCTGCCTCGTCTGGCTTATATAGGTGCGGGCCTACCGGCCGTGGTACTTAGCTAGAGAATCGCTTGAGGCTTGTGTGTACACTGCAACAATATATAGGAAAAGAAAAGTACGAATTAGAAGACTCGAGTTTTTAGGGTTGGAATCGTGCGGCGTGGCCCGATGGCCGTATGCCGCGTCATCCGCAGATGAGCGACTCTATTTATATGTTGGACACAGTAACCTCCACCTCAACACCGGGGTCGATGTTGATAGACGTGATCTGTCGAACCACGTCGCTTGCAGAGTGCAAGTCGATCAAACGCTTGTAGATACGCAGCTCGAACCTGTCGTATGTGTTCGTTCCTAAGAACATGAGAAACCACAAACGCAGAGCACATACGACATTTAGCACGCAGGCCTCGCAAGCATCCTGCCGAAATACATCTGCTACGAATCGTATAGGCAGCCTAAGCCCGCATGCCATGCGGGCAAAAAGCGCATTGGCGGTCTTCATCTGATATGCGAAACACGCTCACCCTCTCCGCAAGGCGACTTTCTAGTGGTGACCCGCAGGGTCTTGACAGGCAGGCGTACTGGCCCATTTGTCTGCAGTCTCCTCTGCTTTGCCGCTCCAATGAGCTCCGTGCACACTGCGGATCAACAGGAAACAAGAAGGAAACACAGGAAACAAGCATGAGCAAAATCGATCGGAAATGCGACGGTAAAGAGGCCCATAAATTGTGATTATACGCATCGCCACATCAACGTGTGCACAGGCCTTCTCCTTTTTATGAAAAAAAAATGCTATGAATCGTTTCTCAACTCAGTACGCGCCACTGCAAGACAATATACAAAGATAGGTGGGGAGGCAAGAGCTCCACGGTTTCCCTGAAACGCCCCCGAGAAAGAGAGGCGAAGAACGTTGTGTTATAAAGTAAATGCTGGTTCATGCTCAGTGAAGGCAAAGGCGCCAAAAGGAGGTTCACGTGTCTCGGCAGGTGCATGACATAACAG